GGCTGGCCCGTTCTCGGTTGGTTTCTGGTCTGCGGGGCGTCCTGTTTCCCTCCTCGCTTTGCTGAGGGGCTGCGGAATCAGTTTTGGAACCGCGCGCGGGCGGGGCTGACAAGGCCGCTACTGTGTAGCACCTGAGGGTTTTTCTGCAGTGTAATCTATCCCTGCAAGGCTTCGAGAACGCCTAAGCAGTTAAACACAAACAAAACACAAACAAACAAACATCTAAACCTGGGTGTTAGGAAGGAATATTCTATTTTCCTGCATAGGCTCTGTTTTTTGTCTTGCATTTAAATTGGGCATCGAAGTTCTCTCTTACAGATAACATAATTTTTATATGCAGAAATGTTGAAATAATGTTATTTCTAGAGTGACAGAGAAGTGTAGGTTTTGTTTTCTCTGCCTGCTGCTTTTCTTGGTTGAAGAGGACTCTTAGGACATTTATTAGAGTTCAGAGAAGCTCATTTTAGAGATTACTTAGTATATTGATTTTAAATGCTTTCATTTAATGATCTTTTCATTCGAGGAAGGGGACGGTTTTCCGGTCATTTCAGCATACGACATGTATGGAGTGTATCCCAACACTGGAAACCTTGGAAACCATAGACATCCTGTACTGTGTGTTTTTTTTTTTTAATATATCTTTATTGATTTCAGAGAGAGGAAAGGAGAGAGAGAAACATCAATGATGAGAGAATCATTGATGGGCTGCCTCCTGCACGACCCCACTGGGAATTGAGTCGCAATCCGGGCATGTGCCCTGACCGGGAATCAAACCCGGACGGCCTGGAGCCTAGGTCGATGCTCAACCGCTGAACCACGCCCGGCTGGGCTGTGTGTGTGTGCTTTTAATTAGTTAAAGCAATAGATATTATTTCAGAAACAAATTTCTATGGTCTGCTGTAAGATCTGTATAGATTCCACTCAGTCCTGCCTACGCATATATAAGGTGTTCCCCCAAAATGTACACACACACTTTGAATAATTATAAAGACAGTGTTTATTAAAATACATTTCATTTTGCCCGACCAGCGTGGCTCAGCGGTTGAGCATCCACCTATTATCCAGGAGCTTTCGGTTCAGTTCCCAATCAGGGCATATGCCCAGATTTTGGGCTCATCCCCAGTAGGGGAGGTGCAGGAGGCAGCAGATCAATGACTCATCATTGATGTTTCTCTCTCTTTCCCTCTCCCTTCTTCTCTCTGAAGTCAATAAAGATATACTTAAATAAGTAAAATACACTTCATTTTCAAAATTGAGCTATCACCTGTTAAAGTGTGTATACATTTTTGGGGACACCTTGTAGTAGTATTTGTAACTTAATATTTGTAGTGATTGGCAACTCTGAATCATCAATATATAGCAAATTATAATCAGTATTTTTATTGAGTACATTTTCTTACTGCTGTGTTTCTGTTCCTAGCCCTGGGAATAGTCTGGGTATGTAGTAGGTGCTCCATAAATATTTTGAATGAGCATTGTTCACTGTAACTAGATAATATTTTAAAACACTGGTACTTTTATGTTCAAAACCTGTTTTTGTAAATGAATTAGAGGTGGGATATAAATTAAACCTTTGTTAGTAATTTGGGAGTGTTTCCTAGTGGTAGACCGGAAACTTCCCATATACTGTACTTTAAAGAAATTCTCAATGCTTTTTAAGCTTGAAGCAGAAAAATATATTGTGTGTGCACTATAGTGTGCCAGCATGAATAGTTTAAAATCAAGAAGCATTTTTCACCCTGGTCCTTGTGGCTCAATTGGTTGCTGGTTGGGTTCCAGGGCAGGGCACATGCCTGGGTTTGGGCTCAATCCCCCTAAGGGAAACCAGCAGGAGGAAGCTGATTGATGTTTTGCTCTCACATCAATGTTTCTCAATCTCTCCCTCTCCCTTCCCCTCTCTCTAAAAATCAATAAAGGGAGAAGCAGGGTAGAAAAGTAAATACCTCACCATTATGAAAACTATTAACATGTGCTAGCGAAAACCATCCTAGTAGTGACAGTTATATGCGACATTTGCATGTTGATATTTGAAATTACTCAGTTTTTAGACTTGATCTAGTGAGGGCTATCTCCATTTAGGTCTTTATTAGCTGAAATTCAATCCTTTATTTTTACAGAATAAATAAGAGCAGAAAAATGTCTTTTTTCCATATTTTCCTCAATATGTTGGAAAACCTCTTCTACTTGATTTGAATATAAGTACACCGCTACAACTTTGTCATCTATGCCTTTAATGTTGTGTAACATATATATACATACAGCACACACCTCACATTCGTATTTATTTATTTATTTTAATTTTTATGTGTTTTTATTGATTTCAGAGAGAGGAAGAGGGAGAGAGCTAGAAACATCAATGATGAGAAAGTCATTGAATGGCTGCCTCCTGCGTGCCCCCTACTGGGGATTGAGCCTGCAACCCGGCTATGTGCCCTGACTGGACTAGAACTGTGACCTCCTGGTTCATAGGTTGGTGCTCAACCTTGAGCCAGACTCACATTCATATTTAATGGAGTAGTGTACAGTGAGTGAGTTCCAGACATAAAAGTGTTTTGTGCTTAGTTCTGACTAGTAAACTCAGTGTCAGTGATCATGTCTTCATAATACAGATATAGCCTTTGTCTTATACATTACCTATACCTTAGATGGCTGCAGGTCCTATTTATTGAACTTTTGTTTTCTTTTTTTCTTTTTCTTTTTAAAAATATATCTTTATTAATTTCAGAGAGAGGAAGGGAGAGGGAGAGAGGTGATAGAAAGATCAGTGATGAGAGAGTCATTAATCGGCTGAAGCCCGCAACCCGGGCATGTGCCCTGACCAGGAATCGAACCCCGATCGCCTGGATCCTAGGTCGATGCTCAACCCTGAGCCACGCCCGGCCGGGCTATTGAACTTTTTAAAACAGCATTTCTCAAATAGTGTATATTAGAATAATTTTGAAAATTTGTTTCCTAGATTCCATCCCCAGAGATTTTGATGTACTAAGTCTGGGGTGGACCAGGCACTACAGGTGATTGTGATGTGTAGATAGTTCATAGATTCTAATTTGAAGTATATTAGTGAGTCTTTGATTTTAAAATGCATAAAACTGGGAAAAACAGGGAAGGAAAGCTGAGTCTAAGCACACCACCATCCAATAGCATGTTGATCTTGGTGGTCCAGGCAACCTTTGCTGACCCCTAAATGCTTTAAACTTTATTAGGTTGCCCAATACTTATTTGGGGCCTGGAGATATGGAAGAGTTGAGAAGAGGGAATGATGTTTACAGCTCTCGATCATGCACAGGTTTTATGATTTAGCTAAATAAATTGCTCTCCT